GGGGCGCTCAGGTGGCTGGAGTGTCTCATTGCAAAGAAGGGTCTCGGGTTCGATTCTGGTCAGGACACATCCCAGGCTGCAGGTTCCACCCGTCAGGCCCGTGCGGGAGGCAGCAATCGATGTCTCACTCTCACATCAATGCTTCTCGCGCTCTGCCCTCTCCCTTCCTCTCTCGAAAAATCAATTTAAAAAAGCATGTCCTTAGGTAACGAAAGAAAACAGTGGGTGGCTGGGTGAACAGAGTCAGCCTGCGGACTGAAGGGTCCCAGATTCAATTCCGCACAGGCCCAGGTTGCAGGCTCGATCCCCAGTACAGGGCGTGCAGGAGGCAGCCGGTCAATGATTCTTTCTCATCATGGATGTTCCTCTCTCCCCCTCTCCCTTCCTCTCTGAGATCAATAAAAATATATTACAGAACCCACAGCGGCAGGGGACTGTCCTGCACTGACTGCAGTGTGCTCACACCGTGCACGTTTTATTTGTTGTTGTTGGTAATCTTCACCCAAAGATGTTTGTCACTGCTTTAAAAAATATTTTTTTATTGATTTCAGAGAGGAAGAGAGAGGAATAGAGAAACATCAGTGATGAGAATCATTGATCGGCTGCCTCCTGCACGCCCCCTACTGAGGACCGAGCCCGCAACCCGCGCGTGTGCCCTTGACGGAATTGAACCTGGGACCCTTCAGTCCACAGGCCAACGCTCTACCCACTGAGCCAAACCAGCTATGGCTCTACTGCTTTTTAGAGAGAGTGGAAAGGAGGGAGGGGAAGAGAGAGAGAGAAACACTGATTAAGAGACACATCGACTGGTTGCCTCCTGCAGGAGCCCCGACCGGGGGCGGGGAGAGAACCCACAACCCAGGTACAAGCCCTTGACCAGGAATCGAACCTGCAACCCTTTGGTGTGTGGGCTGGTGCTTTACCCCATTGAGCAACACTGGCCAGGGCTGTGCATGTATTTTTTTAAAAAGGATGAAGTGTACACTTTGTAAATATACTCCAATAAACCTGCCCCTCCCCCAGAGAACACCGACACAGCACCCAGATGTGCGGGGGTGGGCGTCAGAGCTGGGGTCCGCGGCCGCCCGGCAGAGCCAGGCCCAGGTGGGAGGTGGCTCTCGGGGTCCTGTCTCAGTCACGCAGTGAGAGGAGCTGCAGTGGATGCGAGATGGACCGGCGGGAAGGGGGCTCAATGGGACGGCCCGCTGGAGCGGTAGGACCTGCACCTGCCGAGCCCGAGCTGGGTCCCACATGGCCAGAGGTGCGCAGGCGGGACCCTGCCCTGCGGGCCAGTCGGGCTGGTCAGGACTCCACACAGAGTCCAGGGCGTCTGTTTCCTCGGGGTGTCAGGGTGAGCCGAGCCACGCGCACGGCCCCACGGCAAAGGGTCTGCGCTCGCACCCTGAGCTCCCAGGTGCTCCTCCCCACCTGCTCCCAGCGGGAGCACGACCGATTGTCCAGCCCACCCCCCCTCCCACAGTCCAGTCACCGGGAGGCCCACCTGCAGGGAGAAGGTCAGCGCCAGGTCCGTCTCCACTTGTCCACTGGGGGGCAGCACAATCTCGTGGGACCGCAGGACGCGCTTGGAGCCCTGGGCGGGAGGACAGCGTGTCGTTCAGTGTCTCAGGGGAGGGACCCTCTGCCCACACCAGCCACCACGGCCACGCCCCTCCTCCTCACGCAGGACCGAGCCCAGGCTGGGGAGCGGGTCCAAGCTCCCAAGGGCCGTGCGGGAACATTGCCCTTGAGTCCCCTGGGCATCTGCCTCAGGACCCAGAAGTCAGGAGGGGCACCCACAGCCACCGAGGGACCCAGCAGGTCCCGGGCGAAGGGGCCCTCCTGACACCTGTCACCTGTTCCCCTGCCCGGGATGCTGAGGGCCGTGTGAGCACCAGGGCCCCAGAGGGAGAGGGGAGAGCAGCTGGGCCGGGCCCTGGGGTGGGCGGGGGTGGCAGGCACAGGGTGCGAGCACAGGGAGAGTCAGCCGCCCTCTGGGGAGGCCCATCTGCTCTCTCAAGGGACAGGATGCGCCCCAGGAGGGTCCCAGCTGGAGCATCAGGACTGCCTTCCGGGCAACCGCCCGGCCAGGCTCCCTGCTCCCCGCAC